AAAAAAAGGATTTAGCTCATGGTGGAACACAAACAACCTTATAAGGCTGTTTCAAGAAAAAGGTTTCCATGAAGTTATTGAAGTTGCCAAACTAATCAGTGCACTTTCTGCATAATATTGGAGCCTCTTAGTGTTATTATTATTATTTGTAAACAATTCCATTTTTTCATCCTTGTTGACAAAGCTACTTTTGAATTTAGCTATTTAAGCCTGTGGATAGATGGGTGTGGGTGGATTTTCAGTGTGTTTTTTATTTACCTGGTAGGAAGTCTTCCTGCTTGCAAAATCAAGGTAGAGGACGGTCAAATAATGCATCTTAAATAACTGAAAGACCAAAACAGTGCTCACCAGAATTTTATTCATGTGTTTGTAGACAAACAGATGTCAGCCTACGACTGATTTGAATGAAATCCCACATGATCCAGCCGTTAGGTGTTTTTGCTGACTCTTGATTTTAAATGCACTGAGATGTCTCATTTAGTCCACATATTGCTGCTGTGAAGGAAACCGTGCGCAGATTCAAAATTACACCCACTGATTAGCCCATAAGTGGACGCTGACCTTCCTTCTGACCTGTAGCACGAAGCTCATTTGATGCTTGATTGTGTAGCTTTGGCCGATTAGGTGAGGTTCAGATGACTTATTATGAGCGTCATTACGATAGAATTTGATTTGCAGGGCTTGGTGGTCATGTTTGAGCTGTGAGGACGTGTAAACAGTGTTCATGGTTCGTGGAGGGGTATTATCTTGAAAGAGTCAAGGACTGTTCAATAATGTATGTTGGAGTTATTTTTGAAGACATAGGGTTGAGTTGAAAAATACATTTTCTTTTGTAAGGGCTTATAAGAAAATATTAACCTCCCCACCCCATCGGTATTTAATAAGAACAAATACATAATTTGACCTTTTGTGACCTCCATAAAGTGGTTTCTCATAAGCTTCTGACACCTTATCTGCTCATTCCTTGCATGCAGATGCTTTTAGGAACGGAGAGTGTAACAAACTTGAGTTTGTATGAGCATCACATTCTTCTAAAAGGTGACCTATTGTGCATTTCCTTACTTTCTGTTATATACCGTGGATTGATTACGTTTCCAAAATGCCAAATAATGAGCCTTAAAGTAAGAGGGCTGCCCTAAAGCCCAGTATCAGATAAATAGGGATTATTCTGAACTCTAAATTGTGCAAAGCTACTCTAGTAGAACAAAAATATGGAGCTGGAAAATGAGCAAAATAGGTCTTCTTTCAAAAGCTACTAAAGTATTAAAAGGTTTTTTTCAAATATACACTAGAAAAAGATAACCGCACATGGCAGTCGTAATAAAGGGATACACGGAATGTGGGACTAATAACACTTTATATTTTTGAAATTACAAAAAT